GCAACGTGACAGGAACTCCCTCATCCCCCCACTCCCCAGTTTATCTGATTGTCCATTTGGCTTGTCATATAGTAAGTTGGCAAAAATCAATCCCCATAGATGAAAAGGGAGCTTCTCCCTCAGGGGGTTAGGCACCAAGTCACCAAGTTCTCACTGAAGGGGCCCTGATGGCGCAGTGGCTAATGCACTCAATTGCTAAACAGAAGGCTCAGCTGCACTTTGTGGGGAAGGGGGATGGGGGAGGATGTGACAGGCTGCTCCTGTAAAGATGACAACCTTGGAAACTCTCTGGCAGTTCCACTTTGTCCTCTAGGGGCGCTATGAGTTGGAATCAAGTCCATGGTAGTGAGTGTGGCTTGGGCTTAGCTTCCTTGAAGACTGACAACCTTGGAGACCCTGTGGGCAGTTCCACTCTGTCCTCTAGGGGCGCTGTGAGTCGGAATGGACTCCATGGCGGTGGTTTTATGGGTAAGCTGTTGGCAGGAGCAGGAGGCCTGGAAGGGAAAATGCCTGCTCCCACAGAGCGTGCACATTTGCGCTTGGGGATGGAGGTGGGGGCGGGACTCACCTTTCCGCAGTAGAAAATGTCCTCCCTGTGCACCGTTCCTTCTGCTATCTTCTCCCTGATGGCCTCCCCGACCTCATGCTCGTTTCCGTAGACGTAGGCCCCATCAATGTACCGGTAGCCCGTGTCTATGGCAGTTTTCACCGATGCCTTACAGGCCCCCTTCTGGGTCTGCAGTGACAAGAGGGGTGGGGTGCAGGAGAACAGAAATGGGTCTTTAGTTTAATGATTACCAATGAGGATGCTGCTCGGAACATGGTCACCGATGCTGCTGTTGTTGTAGCCGGATGCGCTCCTGGAGCCTCCTGCACGGAAGGAAACACTGCCGGCCCCACCAGCCCCATGATCTGTTTCACATCGGCTGCTGTGGTCCTCAGGGATTTTACTGACTGGTTCAGCAGTAGATTGGCAGCCCTTTCTTCCTGGTCTGCCTGAGTGTAGCAGCCCCATTGAAATGTCAGCATCCCAGCAACACAGGGGCCTCCACTGGCCTGATAGTGGTTGCACATGACGTTCTCTGGTGGGAATCCAACCAGCGGCCCCATAGGGGAGGCGAGAGTCCTACCATCGAGCCACCAACGCACCCACAAAGCAAATTACCCATTGCTGTGGAGTCTATTCTAACTCACGGCGACCCTATACAGCAGAGTAGAACGGCCCTGTAGCGTTCTGTCAGCTGTAATCTTTGCAGAGTGGCCATTGGGTTCAAACCACTGACCTTCTGATTAGCAGCAGAGAGCTTAACCCTGGCACCATCAGAGTTCCTAGTAAGCACATGGTAGGTACTTAGTCATACCTACCCGCAGATACAACACTTTGAACCCCAATGAGTTGCAGAATACATGTGTGTCCCTAGACACTTCCACACTTCCACAGGCAGCCCAAACCACCCCGAGGTACCACACAAGGAAAACTCTGATGATCTGTCCCTAACAATCAGCCAAGAAAACCTTGTAGAGTCGCTGTCCTCTGTGACACGGGGGTCTCCACCAGCCCGTTAACGGCAGCACAAAACAGCAGACACTTTGAGATACAGAAACACACGTAGAAAGTCGTAGTTGGAAATGG